GAAAACCAGAAATAATTCAGTTTAATTTGATTAGCAAAGCAGAAGAAATAACATAAGGTTTCGCTGATATTGCTTGAAACTGTTGAAGTTGTACATACAATAGATCAAGTTTAAGATAAAAAAAAAGTATGACACTAATAAAACTTAAACAGAATCAAGTTGAGCACATATATCATGTCCTCGCATCTTTCGCCATGGAGGCGATGAAGAGAGTCGTTTATATTTGATTTTCCAGTTGAAACAGCCACTTCACATAGTCTCTTCAGCGAAATTCAATCAAAAGACTCCCACCCAGACAACTTTTGCGACAGAAAAACAGTGACGCAAAGGGAGGAAAGTAGTTGAACAAGTGCGTAATATTTGGCAGGAAATTCGTATTTTCTTTGCAATTTCCACAACTAAAATTTGACGGTTTTAATAGATCCGCTCCTTAAGTTGTACTTTTAATTATCAGACGCATAATATCCATGTTAGTGACTCCCTCAACAGATTATTTTCTCAACACTTTTTAGACATGAATAGTGTCACCAACCCGGGGATAAAATGATAAAATGAGCACTTTTCCCCGGCAGGACATCGGCTTAAGGGATTATTTTCCTTGGTACATCGCAGTGAGCTTCCGTATATTCCTCAGATCATATCGGCGGAGCCCCATTTTCCGCCAAAATACAACAAATGTGGATTTACAAGGCTTTTTGCAGTTTTAACCATCAATTTTCACAATGGACTGTTGGAAGCAATTCAATCACGTAGCTAGGAAATCTCAAATGTTTAACAATAAAAGCCCTTAAGCCAACGCGACATCTGCGAATTATTATCACTCCAAAATATTCCTGTCTGCGACCGCTTTAGTGACAGGTAATTTCATCTAGAACGGAAAGTTTGTCGCCTCGAAACTTTCCTGCGACTACCAATTAAAAACAGGTCATGACGAGAAACTAGTTAGATGAAATAAATCAGAAAGTTGCACACATTCAGAGCAGATTTTTCGCAAAAGTAGTTAGCAGAAGCTGAAAAGGCGCAATGTTGTCCCTGCGAATATCCGAAGCTGTTAACTCCGGAACGCAATTTGCTGTGTAGCAGGATAAGTGGGCAAAAAAGGGAAAACAGAGCGTAATAGATTTTCCAGCTGGCGACAGAAATACAGTCTAAAGTGGCCCCAAAGTTCATTCCTGCTGAGGACACTAACCGGGCACCGGCGTCGATTAAATTAACCATTCGCATCCCCCCCGTAATTGAAGCCGGATGAGAGGAAGAAATGGGTTAATTATGGAAGTTTTTCTGAGGACATTCGGGCATTTTCCCAGAATCTTTAAAGCCAGATAAATGAGTTGTTCCGGGGACATTAATTAACGCCTAGAGTATTTTCGCGGGTTAACTAATCGAGAAACTTTCCTCTGCAGGACGTTGTAGTGTTTTCCGAAAAAATCTGGGAAGCGCAGCCAATTTCTAGTCCAAACATGGTGCAGAGGAAAGCCGCAAAAAGGCTTAATGGAAGGGGATTTGTCCTCCAGTCGGTAGTTAAGAGCATCCCTTTTGACTGATAAGGAAAAAGTTATGTCCCATATACTATCGGAAAGTTCCGTGCAGCTTTCGGACCCCATTGGATCATCAGCCGAAGACTGAGTTACATTCAATAAATTACATTTAGAAATGTTTTCCGGGCTTTGAAGCCGTGGTCCATGGGAATTTCTTCCTGACGTTTCGTCCACAACTGCGCTGGACATTATCAAGGCCTCATCGCGCTCAAAAGCGA